GGATCTCTCTGAAAATTCCTTCAACAACAGCATTTTTTCCTTTGTTAGTGCTGCTACATCACTTAAATCTCTGTTTCTTCGGGCCAACAACATGGATGGCCCTTTTCCAGTTAAAGGTGTGTGTTTTCCAAGTATATCTAGTATGTCTTACTTCTTGGTGTTGTATATTATGTTCAATTGATTCAGTTTGTCAGTGTTGGTCTAACATTATGTCTTACATCCAGTTTGTAACATTCTTACCTATGTTGGACTACTTTCAGAACTTAAAGATGTGGTGGCAAAATTGGAACTGCTGGACCTGAGTGAAAACAAATTTAATGGCTCCATTCAAATAAGAGGTAGCTCAAAAGTCAAAACTACTATCCACATAATGTTGCTCTTTCCTTTGTTTCATCCTTGAGATTATCATGTTGTAGCCTTGTATGTAAGGTGCTTGCCTTTACGCTGGTTTTTTTGTGGCAGGGTTATCTGCTCTGAGGAAACTGAAAACTTTGGATTTAAGTGATAATGAATTTTCTGGCTCAGCAGAATTTCAAGGTAAGATTAAGTGTATCCTTATATCCTCCATCCAATTGATGGTGGATTAAAGTTTAGTCATGTGTGTAAAATTACTTCATTTGATTATTGTAGGGATCTGCGAAATGAAAAATATACAAGAGCTTGATCTCAGTGGAAACCAACTAGTAGGTCAGTTTCCCTTATGTTTAACTAGCTTGTCTGGACTTCGAGTTCTTGATCTCTCATCCAACAATTTCACTGGGAAGCTACCATCTTCCCTCGGTAACCTTGAATCCCTCAAGTATTTATCGTTGTTTGATAACAACTTTGAAGGCGTTTTCTCACTTGGTTCGCTTGCAAACCTCTCAGAGCTAAAGCTGTTCAAACTTGGTTCAAAATCCAAATCATTTAAACTAGAGTCTTCAAGTTCCTGGAAGCCCAAATTTCAACTGAGTGTTATTGAACTATCATCCTGCAATTTGATCAAGGTTCCTTATTTTCTCATATACCAGAAGGATTTGAGGCACATTGATCTTTCTGACAATAAAATTTCTGGAGTTCTTCCACATTGGCTATTGGCAAACAATAGTCAACTCAAAGTTCTTTTCCTACATAACAATCTCTTTACGAATCTTCAGCTCCCAGAATCCCCTCATGGTCTGCTTTTCCTGGATGTGTCGGTTAATGAATTCAGTCATCTGCTTCCTGAGAACATCGGGTGGATACTTCCTCGTTTACGTTATATATATGAAACTATCCAATAACCATTTTCAAGGAAATCTACCACCTTCTTTAGGTAACATGAAAAGGATTGGATATCTGAATATATCTCACAACAGCTTCCAGGGGAAGCTACCAAAAAGTTTTGTAATGGGCTGTTATTCCATGGAAGTCCTGACGTTGTCACATAACAAACTAAGTGGAGAAGTGTTTCCAGAACCAGTCAACTTTACTGATATATTGGCTGTTATTCCATGAAAGTCCTGACGTTGTCACATAACAAACTAAGTGGAGAAGTGTTTCCAGAACCAGTCAACTTTACTGAAGTGTTTCCAGAACCATGAAAGTCATGACGTTGTCACATAACAAACTAAGTGGAGAAGTGTTTCCAGAACCAGTCAACTTTACTGATATATTGGAGTTGTCTATGGATAACAATATGTTTACAGGAAAAATCGGAGAAGGTTTGCGAGACTTGCATTACTTGTCATCCCTTGACATTTCAAACAACAATCTCACAGGTGTTATTCCAAGCTGGATTGGTGATCTTCAATTATCTTTACTAGTACTTTCAAGTAATATGTTGGAGGGTGAGATACCTGATTCCCTGTTCAACAACCCCTTTCTACGGCTCCTGGACCTCTCTGCAAACATTTTATCTAGAGGCATACCTCAGCACATCAATTCATATTGGCAGACGTTAGTGTTACTCCTTCAAGACAATAATTTATCAGGGGCTATTCCCGACACATTGCTAACAAATGTGTCTGTACTTGATCTGAGGAATAATAGATTGTCTAGAAATATTCCGGAGTTCACCAACACGGAAAACACCCATACTATTCTTCTTCGAGGGAATAATTTAACAGGTGGTATTCCAAGCCAGTTGTGTGGCCTTAGAAAGATACAACTTCTTGATCTTGCTAACAACAGACTAAATGGATCCATACCTTCATGCTTCAGCAATACATCATTTGTTTCTGGGAAACATGCTACATTTTATAGTCAGAACTACGACTCTATTTTTGTGCCCATTGGTGTTGATTTCTCTTATTATGATCAGGATCTTTCTCTGCAGAAGGACTTCAGTGTAGACTTTTACGGTATACATTTCAAATCTCTTATTAAGCTAGATCCGTTTCTAGTGGAATACCGTCTAGGCACCCAGGTTAAGATTGAATTTGCCACAAAACATCGATCCGATGCCTATGTGGGTGAAAATCTCAGATTATTGTTTGGAATGGATTTTTCAATAAATGAGCTGAGTGGTGAGATCCCAGTAGATCTTGGAGGTCTTCTGGAACTGCAAGCTCTCAATCTCTCTCACAACAACTTATCAGGAGTGATACCAGAAAGCTTTTCAGGTCTCAAGAATGTGGAAAGCCTTGATCTATCCTTCAACAGGCTGCAAGGTCGGATCCCACAAGAACTAACAGAGCTGAGCAGCCTCGGAGTCTTCAATGTCTCGTTCAACAACTTATCAGGAGTCATTCCAAAAGGGAAACAGTTTAATACCTTCCAGACACAAAGCTTCTTAGGTAATCCTCTTCTCTGTGGACAACAAATCAACAGAAGCTGCTACAACAGTAACTTTCAAGTCCCAGATAATGAAGTGAAGGAAGATGATAGCCAAATCGACATGGTCTCTTTCTACTGGAGTTCTGTTGCAGCTTATGTGACAATACTTCTTGGAATATTCGCATCACTCTCTTTTGACTCTCCTTGGAAAAGATTCTGGTTCTACATGGTTGACGCTTTCATCTACAAGGCGAAGAAACTGTTGTGGTAAAACATATCTTAGTGATGCCACATCCTATTTTCAAAACTCCCTGCTTTGTTTCACATAACCTATGTACTGTCCCTGTCTTTAAATAAATGTAATGCCCAAACATATCTTGGAGCTCTGGTTGATGGTTTGTTCAATAATATTTACTGAAAACATATATGTATACTAGGTGATTTTCCCGTGCTCATGCACGGGTATAAATATTCATAAAAGTAAAATTTTATAATAATTGATTGATAATTAGTTTTAGTTTTGTATCAATTTATATGTATAATTTATATTAATAAATCTTATATTATTCTAATTATACATATGATTTTGGATATATTATTGTCAGTTTAATTATTTTTTGGATCAATTGTCGGTTTGGTTATCAATTTGGTATATTGGATAATATTTATTTTTTGAATTCAGCTATAATATTTTTTTATTGTAAATATAATAAAACTTTAATTAATTTTCTTATTTTCATTTTGGTTGGTTATTGTCTTATATATGTAAATATATTATAATTAAATTATATATAACTTAATATATATATATATATATTGTGCTTAAACTAAAATAAATAATAAGCTGAAGTGTTTGATTCAAAATTACATAAATGAATATAATGATAATATTTTGAAGTCTCATGCATATATATAAATTCTACAAAAGAATAAAATGTAATTGGTTAATATTTTCTTTTTCTTTTTAATATGCTTTGAGTCAACCTCTAATTTATATATATAAAATTAAATATATTATTATTACTATAAAATTATATGTTCTTATTGTAGTTAGATGTTAAATTTTGGATATAAATTAGATTAGTCGAGTCATTCATGTTGTGAGTATATTGAGTTAAAATTGAAGTATAATTACTTTTTATTTTAGTTAAGTCCAATCAAATTAGTTATATTTATCTCTTAAATATACATGTATTTTTATAATAATTATTTATTTCTTATTTTAGTTAAGTCAAATCAAATTAATTTTATTTATCGTTTAAATATACAAGTATTTTCATAATATTTATCAAATTATATGTTGATTTCTAAAAAATATTAGAAAATAAAGTGTAACTTATAAATTTTGGATGTTCATGAACATATATATTTTTATTATTTTGAAAATATATGATTTGTTATTTAAAAATATATATTAATGGGGTATATTACTATTTTGTGAACTTTCCTTTTTAATAAAGTCAGATTATATATATATTTTTTCGTTTTTAAATCTATTTTATAATTTTAGAAATATTTCCTTTTTATTATATATGTTATTTGGAAAAAGTAAAAAAGAAACTAAATAAAAAAATTAATAATAAACTTAAAATCTAATAATTCATTAAGGGTATCTATCTAATCAACCATTAACGTGAGCGCGACACGTAGGAAACTGACTTCTCAAATAATATTATAGAGATTGCTTTACAGTTAATTCTTTCTTTCTGAATAATCATCCTGAAACGAAGAAAACCATTTGCATATGTTTAGTGTGTCTTTTTCCTGAATCTTTGAACTCGAGATCGTTCACTCCCCTCTCCATTTAATTGTATACACTATGAGAAAATTTAGGTAGTACATGCGGAGCTGCTTTCACAGGCATGCCGGCTTAGCTTTTGTAGAACTCGGTTTCTATCAGCTCCATAAGAGTTTCCCGACTTTATCCTCTGGTTCCAACACTCGATTATATATGTAGTGACCCCAAAGACACTTTCATCTCCTTGTGGACTTTCCTTCAGGGGATGCTCTGTTTTTTATCTTTGGTTCTGTATTTACACCATTGTCTTATGAATAAAAAAAAAAACACAAGTTGCAGAGGATCGAGACTGCACCATATCATGCAAAGCCAATTTCTTTTTCTATACACAATACATTAAAATTGAAACACAAACAAGTTTACTTCATCCAATATGTAACGTAGTACGTGACAAAAAGAGCAAACTTATACTTTAAACAAGCATACAAGGATCAGTCATTTCCCCTGAACAAGAACTAGCTCTCATTTAATTACCACTTTCAAGCAAACCAGTACCCTTGAATTTCTCTTCCATTATCCCATCCATACGAGCTGCCATGTCTGGAGTCAGATAATTCACCCAATCTCCAGTCTTTCCTTTCCTGAAATACGCGCTGTTTGTATAAGGAGAAGGATGATCTTCTCTCTCCTTATCTCCTTTGTTAACTTCGAGATTCTTCATCGTCTCGAAGCTGCAAAGATTCACAACTTTCTCAACAACCCCATTCTTCTCTTCCTCAGCTGTGAACCCATAACCCATAAACTCAGCCAAACTCTTCACATAAGGCAAAGGATCAGCTCTCACAGTCTCGTACTTGAGGAACAAAATCTTATCTGGATTCTCTTGGTGAGCTTTCCAGTAACCTAACACATGATCAAGATAAGGACCGCAGGCACAAAAACCCTGGCAGAACATGTCAAAACACTCCTCAAGACTATTGAGCGGGCCATGTTCAAACCTTTGCTTTTGGAAGAAACTCCACCTGGAAATGAAAGTGTCCTTCGGGTCTCTCCAGATGTAAACCATCTTACAACCCGACTTCACAACCGAATGAGGTAAGAAATCGTGTGGCATATGGGTTGAGAAAAGATGGTTCCCTTTGTCTTTGAGAACATCAATGTTAGGGAACTGAGGGAACTGGATCTCAATGAAAGGAATAAGCTCGTGAGGGTTATGTTTTAAGAGAGGGTTGGTGGAATCGTCAAAGCGAGATCGATTGGCTATTGTGAATGTTAGTGACTTGAGCCAAGTAGAACCTGTCTTTGGGTAGCTACAAATGAACAAGTCACTGGGTCGCGCTTGGAAGAAGTCTTGCGCGTAAAGGGAACCTTCAAGGATAGGTTTTACCCACCAGTGACCACCGTACTCAATCAAGGGAGCTTTCGGCCTCCAGCCTTTCACTTGAGGCAACGTGGAGGTCACGTCTTGGTACCGTTTCCGATTCTTCTCGAACTCCGTTGGCTCTTTCTCGGTCTCGTCATGGTTTGGCACGCTAGTGTCAGTTACAGCGTCTGTTGCCATTGGAGATTGGAGGACTTGTGTTTCTGATCTGTGATAGATGGTCGTTTGGACAAGATCAATCATAGCAGGCTTTTTCTTTATTAGAAGCACTCATAGAAACATTCACGTTTTTTTTAATTGTTTTTTTATTGTTATATTAATCCTAATTATTATATTTCATTTTGGTTGGTATATACCTGCTTTCACTAAACATTAGTATAAAAAAATACGGGCCACTAACCACATGCTTCATGTGCTTGTACCGAGGACTGGATCTGTATCTGATTACATATAGTAATAAAGTTAATTTTGATTACCCACATGAAACATTTATGAGTACGTCGATTTGGCCACTAAATACGATGGTGCCATGGGTTACGGGTCCATGATGGCAGATATTTGGCATACATGTTGCAGATTCTTTAGGTGCTTATACTTGACAGGACGATTAAACCAAGAAACCATAAGAGGAGATTGAGAAGCTTTCTTGTTTACGATCTCAGTATTGTTTTTCAAAAATTTAGACGATACTGTTGGAATTGTATCAGTTGATTAAACCAAAAAGAAACAAAAAGAAAGGAAGAACAAGAACTGATCCAAAAAAAAAGAACAAGAAAAATGTGAAAGGAGCAACAAGTCAAGGGAGTTAGTGAAAGCTTTTGTTTGTTAGCTAAAAACAAAGTCAAATTTTTTTTCCTATTGATATACATTATTCACATGAAACAGAAACAGAAACAAATTTTATTCATCCAATATGTAAACGTAATGAGCAAACTTATGCTTTAAACAGGCATACTTAAGGATCAGTCATTATTAATATCCCCAAACAAGAACTAGCTCATTTATTTACAATTTTCAAGCAACCCAGTACCCTTGAACTTCTCTTCCATTATTCCATCCATACGAGCTGCCATGTCTGGAGTCAGATAATTTTTCCAATCTCCGGTCTTTCCTTTCCTGAAATACGCGCTCTTTGTGAAAGGAGAAGGATGATCTTCTCTCTCCTTATCTTCTTTGTTAGCTTCAAGATTCTTCAACGTCTCGAAGCTGCAAAGGTTCACAACTTTCTCAACAACCCCATTCTTCTCTTCCTCAGCTGTGAATCCATAACCCATAAACTCAGCCAATCTCTTCACATAAGGCAAAGGATCAGCACTCAAAGTCTCATAGTTAAGGAACAAAATCTGATTTGGATTCGCTTGGTGAGCTTTCCAATATCCCAGAACATGATCAAGATAAGGACCGTACCCTGAAAAACCTTTACAGAACATATCAAAACACTCCTCCAGACTGTCGAGCGGGCCACTTTCTGACCTTTTCTTTAGGAAGAAATGCCACAAGGAGATGAAAGTGTCCTTCGGGTCTCTCCAGATGTAAACCATCTTACAACCTGTTTTCACAACCGAGTCGGGTAGTGACTTGTATGGCATATGAGTTGAGAACAGTGTGTTTTCTTTGTCTTTGAGACCATCAACTTGAGGGAACAAAGGGAACTCGATCTCAATGAAAGGAATAAGTTCGTGAGGGTTACGTTTTAGGAGAGGGTTCGTGGAATCATCAAAGCGAGATCGGTTGGCTATTATGAATACTAGTGATTTGAGCCAAGTGGTACCTGTCTTTAGGTAGCTACAGATGAAGAAGTCATTGGGTCGCGCTTGGAAGAACTCTTGCGCGTAAAGGGAACCTTCAAGGATAGTCTGTATCCACCAATGACCACAGTACCCAATCAGGGGATCCTTAGGCCTCCAACCTTTCACGTGAGGAAACGTGGAGATCAGGTCTTGGTACCGTTTCTGATTCTTCTC